CGGCACTAAGTACCCCCCGAAATATCAGTTAGCATTTCAGTCAATGCAAATAGATTCGACAATGAACACACAAAAAAAAAGAAAACAACCACCCAACTCTCAAAGCAAAAAATAAATCAAAAGAAACAAACGCAAGAAATGAAATTCAAAATGCGAACAACAAATAAAGATAAAAAATCACAGACTTGAGAAAAATGGCCACGAAACGTCGCGCACACGACGTGCATCACTTGTAACTGAAAATGTAAATGGAAAATGTAATGTACATGAGAAGTCGTGAACAGCGCGAAGTACCTGTCACTGAAATCACACATGAAAAATGTAACATAATACAATGTACCCTCGTATAATCCTACTGCTAACAAAACTCGTACCAGATGTCGAAAAAAATACAAGAAACAGTACTCTACAAGTCGTGTCGTAGCTGCCGAGATACTGTACTATACTCAGTCTGCTATAACCAACGCTAATCTACGAACACCCTACTGGTACCAAAATCATACACACCAAAAACGAAAGAAACAACAACTACAGCACGCATACTACCACTGAGTGTCTAACAATACGAAGACAAGACGACATGACCAGAAAAACATAGGATCTCACAACATGATGAAGTATGGTGCGAGTAGGGGAAAAACGGAGTGCTGGCCTCACGATCAACGACCCTTCTTCCCCTTCCCGCTCCGTCTCCTCGCACCCCCTCGAGTGCCAGATGCCGACCTCCTCGTCGCTCGTGCGGACGAAGAAGTCTGCGCAGCGGAGCGTCTAGATCCATGTGTCGGCGGGGGAGGTGGGGGCCCATCGTCGCCGTAGTCGTCGTCACCGCCGGAACCGCTCTCGCTCTCCTCCTCACCCTCCTCCTCACCATCGTAGTCCTTGTCCTCGTCCCGCACTGCCGCATCCGTCTCAGGATCATCCTCCTCGATGGTGACAAGGCCTCCTCCCTTCCTCAACAAAACAACCCTCGCACTAGCCTCTGCAACCGTCTGCTCACGGCGGGATCCATGAGGCATCCCCAACCCCTCCGCCCCCGAACTCTCTCCAAACGCAGCGCCTCCCTCTGCAGACACAGGGCGTGGACGAGGAGGCACTCCACGCTTGCGTGGAGTCTGCTCCTGCACAGCACGCGCCGCTGCTCTCAGAGCGTGCTCCAAGGTGTCGGTGGACGCTCCTCTACCACGGGCACTCCTCTACCACGACCTCGCTGAGGCTCACAACCTGACGCTGGTACCTCCCTCGCTGCGGTCGTCCTGGCGCCAACTCCTCCGAACCCCGGTTGAAGGCGTGCAGTGTGCTCCGTGGCACGGCGGGTAGAATCCAAATCTATGTCTGTCCTCCCGAATAATGTCGTGTCACACACGTCCTGCAGAACTGTTGTCATGTCACGAATCCTCGATCTGTCGGGCGTCTGTGGGGATCGAGAGCCTCTACCTGTGGGCGACGATGATGGATCACCTACAGGTGGTCTAGGAGGAGGGGGTGGCATGTCTCCTGTATGTGGCGCTGTCTCCTGCACGCCACCCGAAACCCCTGGAACATCTCCTGCAGTACGTCCTCCGGTGGAGGTAGACCCAGACCACATGGGCGACGCAAGACCCCATGGAACCGAAGGGATCGCCTGCCATGCTGGATGCTCGAGCCTCCGGTCGAAGATCCGTCGGTCCAATCGAGTGACATCGCGTACAGCATCTCTCGCCAACTCATCTGCATCCAAAGGACGACGGACCTCCTGCGGAGCAAAGTGAAGTTGATCGTAACCTCAGCTGTCGAACCACCGTCGATCTCTGCAAAAACCCGTGCGGAGGCAAGGAGGATGCCAACTCCTCCGTCTCCGCCTGTGTAGTGGCCGTCTGTAGAGGCGAGAAGGGGGTGGGCGGTGCCGGACTCGGCGCAGGAGGTGGCTGAACGGCCGACTCTTGGGCGACAGGAGCAGGAGTCAGTCTCCCCGCCTCTGCACGGCTCGTGTCGGCATGAGAGGCCCCGCCTCTGTTAGCACACGCATCACCCGTGGAAGCCACCTCCCCGAAAGGGCCCCATAAATCCTCGTCCCCCCCCTGCATCTCCTCCTCTGCCCGGTCCGCTGCCCGCCGAGCCGTGTATGTCCTCACCTCTGCATCATTGGCCTCCTCATGCGTCTCGTCGATCTCGCTCGGGATGGGCAGGGCAGGGTCATCTGATCCCTCGGGTGCGGGCTCCTCATCCGAGTCATCGTCCCTGGGGTACGGACGGAAAATGCAAGCACGTCTCTCAAAAACGGCATCAGCGGATGGCGGTGCGGAAGACCCGATGGGATCGCGCGTAATAAGCGCAACCTGCTCTGCAATCTCCGCCGCCGTCATCCCCTGGCGCGTGCCCGTGCGCACCGGCTCAACCTCCAGTCTTGCTTGGCAGTCCAACATCCCCTCGTCACGCTGCCATGGCAGCACGTAACCGCATCCTGCCCGCCGATACTCTGTCAATCGCACATTTGCGGTGATCTCAACGAGCTGCACGACCTTCTCAAAGGCCAACCTGTTGCGCTTCTTCGTGTGGATGCCCTCGTGGACTGCCCAGTTCCTCTCCGCTGGAGAGGCGCAAGACCACATGTGCATCACACGAAGAGCGCACCGCTGCAACTCTGGGGCGCGAGCCCCGTACTGGGACCACCAAGACGCGCATTCGATCGTTTCGGTGTCACCGCTACATGCACGTCACGAGCACGCCCCTCCGCCCCGCCCCAATCACCAAACCTGCCCTGCTGCATGTGGAAGTCCTCGAACTGCCGGCAGGCAAGGAGGTACTCTGCACCCTCCAAATCGAAACCCGTCAACGTCAGAATGTACCTCTTGGCTTGTCTCACAAGCCAAGCATGGTACTCCTGCACCTCGCGGAAAAATATCGAACATGTCGCCTGCGGGGGTTCAGTAAAAACCCAGCACAGTGGGTCGGCTCTAGCATGTGCTGGGAGCGTGCCTGCACACGCCTGATGATCCGATCTGCGATCGAGGACCCCAAAGGAGCGCATGCCTCCTTCACCCGCTGCACAAGATCATGTGCCCACTGAGCACGAGCGACATGAACTGCCCTCCACGATCCATCCGTCGGAGCAACTGCATCACGGGCTCCATGATATGGACGATGGTGGCCACCCTCTGCCACCAAGGATCCCATCTGATCTGTCGGCGCACCCAACGCACCATGTAGCAAACATCGGCAGACCACGGGATGGAGGCAAAAACCCGCGCGTCATCCCCTCGCATCATGCTAGAGCAATGCTTTGAAGATGCTTATGATAAAGACGAGTACTTCATCATTCGTGGGACGGAAAGAGTCATTATTGCCAAGGAGGACAAGGCAACCAACAAAATTTAAGACCGGATCCCCATTTTCAGCAGGGTAACCAGTGTATCGGTTATCCAAATCAGCCGCTAATTTGCATAGTGGTCGCCGGATTACTTGCAGATGTCATTCACACCAAAGTCAGGAAAGTAGTGAAGTCATCATTAAATCAATGGTATCCTAGCTTTACTTGAGAATTGGGAGTTGTCTGCGTTTCTTTTCTAGCAGTCAGTATGGAGCGGAATGAAAGAACTTGGCAACGCATCTCATCAAGTTGAAAAGTTGTGTCAGCCCAGCTATTTGGCAGAGAGAGTGGAGATATTTTGGTCAGACGTCATTTGAGCGTCGCTATGCATGTTAATTATGCTTTTATCCTTTTATTGATAAGTGTTATTTGAAGTCAAGTCAACTCATGTTGGCTCGTCGTTGGATGACAAGTCAAGTCGACCTATGTCGACTCGTTCTGAATGGGTCGTATGCGTGTTGAATTGTATTATGGATGAATCGATTTCAGAAGATAAGTCAACTTACGTTGACATGAGTCTTCTTCATTTGAAATTGTTTTGTCTGAGTAACTCTTGATTGTTTTGGAAAGAAGGGACTAGGATTGATTGAGATTTCCTTATGCTTAGGTAATCACGTCCTAGCCGACCGATGTTGGTCCGATTCCTGGGAGATCAACGCCCTAGGACGAACGACGTTCGGGTCCACTTTGGCGTTTAATCATGCGTACCTGTGCTACAGCGAACGATCAAACCCCCTCGGGCGGCCTACCTCTGCAATTGCATTATAAAAACCTTCGCACGTGGGCTGGTAGGTCGGCGGGGATACGCCCCTAAGGGTGGTGACAACCCCTTAGGGATGGTGAGTTGTGCCCCGCGGGAACCTACCCTGTCGTAGGGAACCGCGGGATGTACGGCTGGCGCACTCGGCCGGAGCGGCGAAGGGTCGACGTGGGTCACCATGTCGTCCTTGAGTTGTCTTTGAAAAGTTAGAAGTCTAAGCTTCTCCTGCTTGACGCAGTCGGGAGGGCCCTCGCTCGCGTGGAGGCCGATGCGCTCGACACCACATTTGTTTTAGCTTGACGCGAGATTTTGACCATCTCATTAATTAAGAAAATGTTATCCTGGATATCTCTTCCAGTGAGAAAGTCTGTCTGTGAGGGGTGAATGATACTTGTCATTAGTGGTATCATCCTGTTGGTCAAAACTTTAACCAACAGTTTATAAACTACAGTAAGCAAGGTGATAGGTCCTTTGGCCAATGAAATTCCTTGGCTTACAAACTCTCCCATGACCCCACTTTCCTGGATAACCTCAATATATTCCATCAAGTCCTTCGAAAAGAGAGGCCATATGATTTCTCAAAATTCCAAAATTCTTTTGGGAAGCCATCAATGTCTGGGGTCTTGTCTTCCTCCATTTGGAGTAGGGCTGTCCATATTTCCTCTTCGGTTGAAGGTTGCTCTAAACATTTTTTTTGCTCTATTGTAAGAGCCCTGTGTAGGGGTGTTAGAAACTGTTGTATAGCATCATCATCTTCCTGGCTTCTAGAGGGGTTTTTGAACGAGGTAATTTTTTTTTTGAAGAAATTGCGTGTTATTTTCAAACTACCAGCTGAAAAAATGTGAAGCGCCGATTCATTAGAGGAATCAAGAGGGTCTAGGAATCCTTCGATCCTTGTTCTTTTGACCCTTGTATTGGCGAATGAGAAAAAAATTGAATCCATTTGTCCTTCAGTTGAATATTTAGTTAGTCTGCCTCTAATCAAGCATCCTTGCCACCGATGTTGGGCGAAGGCCAAAAGTTGATTTCTCATATTTTGAAGGTGAGCTTGTTGGTGAGGATCAGTTGGTTGGTTCTGAAGTTCGCAATCGAGAATTTGTTTTTTAATTTGGATTTCCTGGTGATATCTATTTTTGGCAAGGAGTTTATAATAGTTGTTACATTTCCCCCCCAGAAAAGCAAGACCATTATTAAACCATTTGATAAAGGATTTTTGTTTATCTTTAATGGTATACCAATATGTCCACACATCCTCTATATATTTTCTGAATTGTGTACTTTTCAGGTGGGAGGCATTTAATTTATAAAATTTTTTCGCCTGGTCGGGCTTTTTCCGGAATGAAAGTAGGACCGCACACATTTTATGATCTGCTCCTGACGATGGACTCTGTGGGAAAATGGATGCCCAAACTAGTGAGTGACCCAAATCTTCTGACATTAATATTAAATCAATTCTTGATCTATAAAATTGCGATGTGCCGGTGTTACGAATGCAGGTGAACAAGCGTTCCCGTAGGAATATCTGTCTATATGTATCTATGATAAATTGGGTATCTGGCCGGATAATCTGGTCGGATTATCTGGCCGGATGATGGGGGGGTAGGATCATCCGGAATTAATCCGGAAAATTCATTCGGATTGAAAATTCCGGATAAAATTGGTCTGTCGGATATCCGGAATTTTATCATAGATATGTATCATATAATTTTTTTTCCTCACATAGTCTCTGGATAATAAGCTCATCTTCTTCAATATAAGATGGACAAGGAGAGGGCATTTTCCATATATCCATCCACCTATCTGGTGCTGCATTAAAATCCCCCGCCATAATGAGAGAGATACCCTCTGAGATTTGGATCCTGATGTCTTGAAAGAATGAATTCCTTTCTTGTATATCATTAGGGCCATATCAATCAATCACACAGATAATTTTCAATTCCAGCATGACCAATGCTTTGACCCAGCGACCTTGATCCTTGTCTACTTCTCAATATACTAATTCTGCTATAGATTTTGGGGGTACCCAAATTGCTACTCCTCCAAATTCACTCCTAGGTGCATGCGCACTCACTTTCTGGAATGACCATATAATGTTATGAGCTCTTGTGTGTGTTGGAAAGTTTGTGAGGTGGGTTTCTTGTATGCATACCAGATTCAGCCATGTACGGCCACCTATACCTCTTAGTTGTTCCATTATAGTCTTTATTTTTTTTGCATCAGCTGTGACCAATCCATTTACATTAATCCATCTACATTAATCCATTTACATTAATCCATTTACATTAATCGATTGTAGATTCAGATCTGCAGCTCTAGTTGCCTGCACCCATGCTGGATTTTTTCCATATAATGCTTGTAAAACCTCCATTATCGCTTAATTATCAGACACAACCCCCTCCCTTCCTCTTATAACCTGGTCCAGTTGCCTTTTTCGAGCTCCGAGGAAGCTAACAGAACACCTTGCCTTAGAATAGAGCACAAAAATGTCACCTCATCAGTTATTGATCAAATAGAGTTTGCTTTGATTTTAAGGTTCTGCATTTCTAGCAAAGCATTATGGGAAAACCATTTAAACCCTGCTTCTTTGTGCTCTTCAAATCTAACAGAGGTGTCTCGTTTGGCCATCTGAGCTTGTTCTCCTATATGGGTAAGTGTTGCTTGGGGCCCAGGGTCAACATGTTTGGAAAGGAAATCGAGGAGACCACATCTGAATGTCCTTTCATTACTGCTTTGGTACTCTATGTATGTAGTCCATCCTCTAAGCATTATACCTCGATATTGATCTTGACCACTAGGGGAAAGCCCAACCTCCCATCTACCCCCATTTTTTTTTAACCGGAATAATGAGATTTCCCTTTGGGGGCTGTGGTCTAGAGATCCGACCCTTTTCAAGTAAATTCCTTAACGTTTGACATTTTTCTGTTTCCTGAGGTAGAGGTATTGTTTTCTATAGAAGCAGTTATTGATCCTGCGCCTCTATTTGATGTTGTAATTCTTTCATTACCTCCTGCTGTTGGTCCTCTTCCTCATTTTTATTCATTGTTGATGGACCATCATTCGCACAGTCTTGCATCATGGTTGTGCTTCCTTCTCTCGATATTCCGATGTTTTTCCCTTGTTCTGATGGTATCTTGACCAGATTCTCCCCCTTCATCTCCCTTCCTGGACACACTATCATATCCTGTTGGGAGGGAGGGTGAATATTTTCATAATTGAAACCAACATTCTCTGGCTCACTATTGACCATTGAGAACCTTGAGGCAACCCTCCCTGCAAAACCTCTCGCAGGCTGGGACTGCTATTCAGAATCTCAAGTAGCTGAATGTAAGATGTGTCCCATAACTCCTCCTTCGCCCCCTTGTATCTTCCTTTTAATTGTTGAATCATCCATTTTGCTAGCTGGACGATTTTCTGCTCTAATGGAAGTTCAACCCCTTCTTGGTTCACATCTAGCATTGGCTCATCTTCATGAGTTGATTAAGAGTCTATATCCATGGGTGCAGGCC